AGCGTGGGGCGACAGCCTGGGGCTGCAGCCAGCCTGCTAGAGGTACTGCCTTGGCTCGTTTGCCTTTCTGACTTTTGTTTCCCTCACCGTGACTAAAAGCACTTTTTTTTTTTTTTCTTACTAGGAAAGAGTAAATTAACCCAAGCTAATAAGCCCTAATAAGCCCTGCTGGGATCCAGCTGACTTTTCATAGGCACTTTAATCTGAACTCCACAAAATGCCTCTGCACATTCTTCATCCGCAGGTAAAACCTGTTAGTTAGCGCCAAAACCCAGGCACGAGTTCAGGCCCACCTGGGGCACAGTGCGTAAGACAGGAGCCCAGGTAGCTCCTGGCTCGTCACGTGCAAATAAAATGTAACATAAGAGTTCCCAGTCTGAGCTGTGGTTGCGTGAAAGTGCGTCCCAGAAGCCAGATTTCTGAAAATACCTCATTCCATCCATCAGGAACAGCTTAGGGGCTGGCGTGGGCGCAGGTGTAGCGTGTGTGCAGTCTGAAACAAGCTCCAGAGTCAAAAGGCATGGTCTGTGTGAGCCCACTGCACGTTTCTATATCTGTTTCTGGTTAATGCACACTCTCTATAATCCACCCATGAGTAACGGAGAGTTAACTTTAAATAGTTAATACAAATTAGCAATTAACAATGATGGTTTGAAAAAAAATGTTTTTTGTGAAAATTGAGCAGGACATGAGATACCCTTGTAATTTTACAACAGTTCATATTATTTTCACCTATATGGAAGCATGCAGAGTATAGCATTGCATGCAGGCATTAGTTATGCTGAACATTATTTATTCAGTGGTTTATGATGAAATAGTTGGATAAACAAAACAGTCAAATCCCCATCTTCTTGTCCAGGATATGAGTGGGAACAAAGGAGAATGCTGCTGTCAGTGCTTATGACTTACACCCCTAAACGTGTTTTTAAAAAAATCAGGACTGAACAACTGCTTTATTGGAATTTAATCAGCAAATAAATTATACTTCTATTAGAAAAAAATCTGCAATTTCATTAAAACTGAGGTGCTAGAAAAATCTGAAATTGAACAGTTTTGTCTTTGTCATGACAATTTAAATAATGTAATATGTTTCAATAAAGAATCTGAAGATGCAGCTTTTTTGATAGCATTGAGCAATAATGTATGGTACCCACTATTAGCCTAGGTATTACTGTGTGCTTATTCTTTCAGAATATTATATACTGTCTTTGGTATTATGATGGAGGAAATAAAATTTCATTTTTAGTTTCATGACTGTGGTTCAGTAAGCACAGTGTTTCCTATTCGTACAAACTATTATAGCTGTCTGCGTTAGGTTTATATATATAACAGGTATATAAGCTTTCAGATAATGTGTGTGGATTGCATGCAACACTATCATTTAATGCTATGAGGAGCACTTTCTCTGCATAATATAAATAGTGGAGAACTTTCTTTACTGTATTTTTTATTGTTTGGATTTAGTAAATGGAAAAAAACCACTGCAAACGCACAGTCTGGATAAGTCACCAAGACATGATTTTTTTTGTGTCTCTAGGGTAGAAGATACCTGATCTTTAAAGTATGAAGAGAAACGGTATAGAGATTCATTATCTTCACATTCAGTTTCCTTCTGTGAGTGTGTAAACCAAAGAAAATGTAGATCAAACAGGTCCCTGAAGCAATTAGCAGAGCAAGCAAGAGCCAGCTTTCTTGGAATATGGAGTACAAAGATACGTGTGTGGGTGTGTGAGAGAACAGGTAAGCATTATGAATTATTGTTCGGAAGATGACTTAGGATGCAGGAATTTGGGAACAGCTAATGAGTAGTCCCAACACACTATCCTCCGAAATAAGGAGGGAAGGGAAGTGAACTGCAAAATAAAAAAGGGTAGAGAGGCTGATTACAGAGGACATTCCTTCTAGGCTCCCAAACATCCCTCCCTGTATCTGTCATGGGTATGCCACATTTGAGGGTGCTGCCTTTCTCGTATCTTCCCTGGGATTAATAAAAAGCTAGATTGTAGCTAAGGTTTATACCGATGGTCTACTTAGTGCAAAACAGCCAGTAATGTTTTTGCAATTAAATTTAAAAAAACATCTCGTAAGGCATAACTCTTAAGGACTTAAGCCTAAATAGTTGATAGCGTTCAAGTGAAAACATGTAAAAATCAAAATAGTTACCTTATGGCAGGTAAAGGATAATTTTAAGTGGTTTTGCATTTCCTTTTCATTGCAGCATTACCTGTTAACAGTGAAATAGTACATCCGTTTTCTCATCTATGCAGACTACCTCCCAAACCATTATTCACTGTAGATGGATATCACACCCAGCACATGGATGGTGTATCCAGCCATTCAGAAAGGTTGTTCATCATTAACTTTTCACTTAGCCATAAAACCATTTGACAAATACAAACTCACTATAGCTAGCAGAGCTGAATGGAGGTTTTTTTCTTAATTTTTCCTGAGCAAAATATCTGAGCTCTTTCTGATACATATCAGGAATAAAACTTGTATTACAGCAATGGAGCAGAGAGCATTTATGTTTTCATGGATAGGATACTCTTCTAATTTGAACTAAAATAGAATTGGGACAAATACATCTTTTCTTATTAACACTATCAGTCAACTTTAGTAGAGTACCTGCAAGTCAGGTGAACCCTCACACTTTTGCTCACTGATAATATGGTTGTTCTAGTCTGGTTTTGATGGGTTGTAGCCTCTTCTTTAGAAAACTGTAAACAGTGGATTGAAAGACATTTCATCATGTGTGTATTACCTTGTAATTATTCTTGTGGCTACAGTAGAACATGAACTTCGTATCCACATAAATTTCAGAGAGAGTAACTTAATCTGTATGTTGAAGATACACCACACTCACCATCCCCAATAATAATACAAGACGGTAGTAAAACTGCAACAAACTCTCTAAAATAGTCACAGCATAGGCAGCTGAAGAACAGGAAACAGGATCATACACTGAGTCTTATGGTGTCCCTGTAGAGTATGAGTCTACATGTGCAAGTCCCTCTCTGTGTATGATGCTGTCTCGGTGCTTCACTGTTCCTCATTCCTTTTCTCTGGTCAGCCTGCTTGTCTCCAAATGTAGAACCAAAAAGAAAAGTTGTGGAAGGAGGAAGGGTGATGAAAGATTAACATTAAATTAACAATGTTCAAGTCTAGAAAACAAGAAGAATGAAAATAAAGAATGAAAAATAGCAGATTACAATTGTAAATGACCTCCTAGGTCACTGAGTTCAGTTATTGCATACAGCCACAAAATTTTCCTTCATTAAAAGATTATAGAATCACAGAATGGTAGGAGTTGGAAGGGACCTCTGTGGGTCACCCAGTCCAACCCTCCTGCCGAAGCACGGTCACCTACAGCAGGCTGCACAGGACCTTGTCCAG